TGAATCGAATCGAATCGAATCGTTCTAAATTAATCCAGATCGTCCATGAATCGAATCGGCAACCATGAATTGAAATCATGCATACTCAACGGGGAACTTAGGTTTCTGGTTTCTAGTGATATTTTCAATCATTTGAAAGGTCACAAAGAAAACAACGGGTGAAACACGAGACGCTGTTGTCTCTGATGCTGCATTAACACACAACAGGTTTGTAAACGATAGTGTTGTGTATGTGTGTGTTTGTTTGTAGGCAATCATATGGTGCAGATTCACTCAGTTATCGAATCAATTTTAAGTCACTGAATCGAATCGAATCGTTCTAAATTAACCATGATCGTCCATGAATCAAATTGGCAACCATGAATCGCGATTTGAATCGAATCATTGTTAAAATGATTCATTGTTAAAATGATTCGTTACACCCCTAAAACTAAATATTAAAGACTCTTAGCTATTGGATTTTATTGTATAGACCTCTTTATATGTATTAAATGAGTAACTTAACAGTAAACGTGCATCTCACACATGAAAGGCCGGATCTCCATTGTTTCCCTTGGAGCCGGGCCGCATTGCCATGGGAGTGCAAGGCGCTATTGCTGGAGGTAATGACACAGAAAGGCAAGCAGAAAGGCAGGCAGGAAGACCTTTCTTTCCATGAACCGTTTATTTAGCCTCGAGTTTAAGTATCCTTGTCATTGTTATCACAGTTGAGCTTTTCAAATAGCAGGAAAAGAAACTAGTTTCTTCCTGACACTTGTTTCTGTATTTAATCACCATAACTGTGGCAACATATGTTACTATGGTCTAAAGTTGGCATTAATAAAACAAATCCAGCTCTTGTCCTGCCTATTCGCCTCATGACAGACTGTTTGCTTTACTGTTTCATGGCTATTCAGAAAATATTGTGCAAGCCCCATCTTGATTGTACTAATGCATTTAAACATCCCGTCATCACGCGCCTGTTCACGTGACAAAGGGATCAAGTGGGATCAGAAAAATCACTGGGGGCAACCGATAAATGAACACACGACTTGTTGTGTTGGGCATCGTGATGAGTTATTATTAGCCTCCACCTTTTCAATGCTCAAACAGCTTTGACTGGCGAGCGATTGCTTAACCATCACGTGGAGTTGAGCAAGTTCAAACACCTCTGTTCTGTTTATATAAGTCTGGTCCGATGCGAGGAAGTCAAACCGACCGTATGTTTGGTTGTTATGTACTGAGCAGGTCACGCTTGGACGCGGCTCCATTCAGTGCCTGAGGTGATTGAGTGGGTGGTGCAGCACCGGGCAGGTGCACAGGCTAAGTGATGAGTCTGCTACGTGCAGATACGCCATGGTTTGCTCTCGACCTTATCGTAACTGGGAATTTCTATACAGATGACAATAAGTTGGGCGGTTACATCAGGTTGATGTTGTGTTATTGTAACCTGGTGGTCCTCTGATATGTCAATAAGGTGGGATATTTATAGTAACCATAAAACCACTTCATTCGCTACCAAAAGTCTCAGCATATGAGTACTATCTCATTCAATTGTTATCGGCAAAGAATGTCGTTACAAATAACCTTTAACTTTCCTTAATTAAATACTGCAAACTCCAGTGAGTTTAGAGCATCATCCAGCATTGGCAGTGTGTGTGTGTGTGTGTGTGTGTGTGTGTGTGTGTGTGTGTGTGTGTGTGTGTGTGTGTGTGTGTGTGTCTGTGTGTGTGTCTGTTTCGGTGAGGTCTGGTATCATCTTACGTGATGTGTCCTCGACACAGCCTAATGACGCAGCTCAAATACAATGCATAGCGAGCTTGTGACTTCCAGTACTCTGGTGTGAAGCTGAAGATTTAAAGCGGTATTTACCAATTTAAAGGGTAGGAGCATAAACAGCGATGTCATGACCCTTAAACAAATCACTGCATCACTGCTGACGTCACGGAATATTTAAGACCTCTTTTAATCAGATCATTTGACAAAGTTGTTTAATATTGCAGCCAAATATTACATTTAGCTTTTGAATTGATATATCTTTATTATATTAAGTAAACATATCTATTTGTGCAATATTACTAACCATTGGAAGACAAAGACTGCCTCTTTCAAAGGTTAATGCTGCACGCATGCGGTCCATGAGCTCAACCCTTTTCCTCATCAACTTACAAAAGAAGCTTCTTACTGCCAATGTTTGACATCAACTTTATCCTTAAAATGTTACGTCCATGCAACACGCCATTGGAATCTTCACAGGAAACTTGGTTGAGCTGGACAACACATGAAAAAAAGAGCCGACGTCATTCCAGTCTTGAAACCCTGGAAGAACATTGGAAGATGGGGGTAAAAGACCAAGTGGTGACTAAACATGTTTATAGTAACATTATGTGTGTTGGCACAATATAGAGGCCTGGTAACACAGAAAATGAGATAAGGAAACTGGTTTGGACACTGGAAGATGGAGCAGGCAAGTGGGATATGGCAGGGGAAGAGGACAGCTCGCATTTCTTGGTATGAAAACATTTTCTTTCCAATCAAAAAAGCAGGGAACCAAATGATAAAACAAAGTTGATGTACATACAGTTAAACACAACACTGCTAAATGGCTGTTTTGTCAATTCCAGCTCATTACTTTGAAATTGTAAAAGGCATCCAGGTGAATGAAGGTAACCAGGCAACTGTTTTCAGACACTTGAGATCAAGCCGGTGCACTTCCTGTGTTGTGTATTTGCATTTATGACTCACCGCTCCAAGGGACGCAAATGTTTCCTCCGGATAATAGGAAATAGATTCTACAAATCAGTAGTAAGTACAAAACACTGCACTCTGCCACAATATTATGCTCCCATTTCTTGGTGTGATGTTATATTTAAATGGCAAATGTGCTCGTTCTATTCAAACTCGGAGTATAGATGACATGTTGCTGAAACCGATGGAATACTTTAATTAAGACTCAATTACCATATTAGTTATGAAGAGAAAGGCATTTTAGGAAGTAGAAGTCGAGCAGGAATCGAAACTGCTGACGGTGGTTCTTCGATGCTTTCACTGGATAACTTTGTCGTGTGTGTGTGTGGCACCAGCTTGGATCCAGGCCCGTGTGCGGCTGTAACAAATGTTCTCCATAAAACCAACACTTCTGCTCGTCTGCAAGGAGATAGATCAGTGGAAATCCCTCCACAATCCTATCAGGGGTTGAGCAGCAAGGGCAATCACGAGTAAATTCTCATTTATTGCAAGGTATTTCACAGCTGAGTCAACACTCAATACAAAAGTGTCCAACAGTTCTCGTCTCCGCACAGCGAGAGGTATTGTTGAAAATTATAGCTTGTTTGTGTGGGACGTTTACGTGTTTCTTTGTCAGAGATGAGATGCTTCTATGTATCACACGAACACAAAAGGTTGTGTGTTGGGCCTCGTATTTTAGGAACACAAAAATTTCCATCAAAACAACTGAGAAGTGATTGCAGGTCTTTGTGGCTGCACTGAATCTGCAGTTAAAAAGGGCTTTTTTATTGGCGCCAATTCCAAAGAGTCAGATTTAGTCATATGTGGGCATCATAAAGCATGCATAATTGCAGACATTATGCTTTTCAAACCAATCTCTCTTGCAGAAATGGGTATTTTTATGTATTTCCTCACACGTATGTTGTTTTGTCGCAGACTGTGTAACCAGCACAACCCTATCAGAGCTCTTCTGCGCCCTGAGAAACCGATTAATCTTTAACTAACATCTGTAGTGAAAGTCGGTGCTTTTAAGCTTGATCTTTATGCCTGAAAACAGCAGGAAATACGAGCCTGGAGTCTACATTAAGGGCTTCCGCTCTGTTCCATTGAGTAAACACGCGTGTACTATATTATAGACGGAGTTGCTGTTTTTATCTCTTTAACGTTGAATATGTTTATTTTTGTGCCGTCTGAATCAAAAAGGGCTGTTTGACTTCAGACACAGTTCAATTCTTCATGGTTTATTAAGGCATTTTGTTTGCTAAATTGTTTTTATTTTCATTGAGAGGTGGGGGTAGAATTTTGCAATGTCTACTAATGAATAGAAAACAGTAACGTACCAATGGGGGAAAAAAGTCAATTTCAATCTAAAAGGAAATAAAAAAGAAAAATGGTTCTGAACCTGGCCCCGAATGACAATGGGATTTATTATATTAGGGGTGTAACGATTCATCCACTGTATCGATTAATCGATTTATATTCTGAATCGATCTGTGCTCAGCAAATCGGCATTCCGGACGACATATATCGATTACAAATCGATTGAAATGGTACATAATCGATTGTATCGATACTTGGAAACTGCACATTGGATTTAAGTACAAAAACGGTGTGGATGTGTGTTTGTTTGTTTTTTAGCACTTTAGACACGTTAAACGTTACTGGATTCAGTCTGTCTGTCTGTGACGTCATCAGTACGCAGCGGCAGCCGCGCGAAACTCTGAACAACAACAAAACACAGCGTGGAGGAGACGACTGCGAGCGAGACATTTACAAACCAACTTATCGATCCAGCGTGTGGAAACATTTTGGCTTTTGCAAACACGGAGGTGTTCTAAATAAGTCGGTCGCTGTTTGTAGAATATGTAGAAGCCAAATAAAAGACACGGAAACACGATGAATCTTTCCGGCCATCTACTAAGGCGCCGTGGGATTAAACAACGCCGACAGTCAGGACCTCTAGCAGCGTTACCGCTGCAGCAGCAGCAGAAGGTAACTGCAGCTCTGCAGACACCTCAGGCCTCGCCAGCACCAAACTCGACATCACAGCAACAATTGCCAAGTTTAGCTGTAAAGACATGCGACCCTACAATGAGGTTGAAAATCCGGGGTTCTGTGAATTGATCCAAACATTGTGTAATTATTGTGTAATGTTTACATTGAAAATGGCACTTGATTCAAATAAAAGGTTAATACATTTGCCATTAATTGTTGTTTGCTTGTTTATAATATCCATAATTAATTTAAACCTGATTTCCTTTCAAGAAAGAAGAAAATTAATCCAGATCGTCCATGAATCGAATCGGCAACCATGAATCGCGATTCAAATCGAATTGTTGGTAAAATGAATCGTTACACCCCTAATATATACAGGTATACAGTATGTATTTTTAACAGCAGACAACTATGTCCTTTGAAATATGTCCTTGAAATAGAACTTCTGTATTATAGCTGGAAAAATTGAAATCATGCATACTCAACGGGGAACTTAGGTTTCTGGTTTCTAGTGATATTTTTCACCCTGGCTTGCCAGTTCAGGGTGTATCCTCTTGGGGAAATCCTGGAGGTCACGCTGTTAAGGCTGAATGAGGACGGAGAGGTGGAGGGCGAGTTGGAGTGGGAGACCTTTGAGCCCACGCTGGATCGGCTCCTTGGCAGCAGCAGGGGAGAGCAGCCAGGATCCGAGTGGAAGAGCGACTCCTTTCTCCTGGTGTGGGGGCTCTCCAGCAAGGTGCAAAAGCCGTAGCAGGTCTGAGCTTTGGCTATGTGTGGAAGAGACAAGGCGGCCTGGCTTTGGGGATCCGCATTGGTGGTCTCCTCGTCACTGCAGCCGTCGCAGGGGCCGTCATCCACGCTCTCCACCTGGATGATGTGTGGGTTCATGGGCTCGTAATGTGTCACCTGTATTTCTGGGCCAGGCCTCTCGCTGGGAGACCCCTTGATAAGGCGAGCTGCTCGGCTCGGCTCCGGGCTCTTCATCTCCTGCAGGGACGGGAAAGTGGGGGGGATGCAGAACTCTGGGATGTTGTCAGGGGTGATGACATTAGGACAGAGAGAAATCCTTTTGTTTTTTTCCGTTTTTTCTCCAAACATGATGTCACTAATTTTGAAGCTGAGCTCTGCTGACGGGATAGGCAGGTTGGATCTCTCGACCGACACTGGGATCTTCTCCACCACCCACATGGATCCTCCGGTAGAGTTATAGGAAACTGTAAAATGAACAAAATGTCATTTTCTTTTGAATTACACAGAAAATTATACAAAAGAAAACGTCATAATATCTTAAATGGTACATTTTGCAAGACAGTTGTCTTGTCTTACCTTACAGTCTGAAGATATGTAAAATCCACGAGGTTGTCTTGAACGAGATGGACTCACAGCTCCAGTCAAAAGGCTGATCTGCACAAAGAGCTTCTCTCTTGTGACAACCAGCACATGTGTGGCTGTTTGAGGGATGAAGACAGTTCAAACGAAGCAGGAAACAAGTGGCTGTAACACCCGCCTTCCTGTGCTGCATGAACAGTATCCTCCCTCCCGCCTCGGCCACTGGTTCCCATGGAAATATCTAACCACAACATAGCTTACTGTGCAGTGAGATAAGCTCACTTCTTTGAAAGTGAACTACTGTATTTAAGCAAATTAAAGGTTTTCCATTCATGTGTATGTATTCCATTTATGCCAATGTGATGCTGTGTATGAACTTCTTCTACACACATAAATAAGGTGATCTGATAAGATAATAATTCAAAGCAATTTTACAACAGTTTAAGTGCCATTTCCTTAAATGCAAAAGTCCACAGCATAAAGCTGACCGGGCTTGACTGTCAAACTCAAATTAACAGTGATATTTAAATAAATGTGTCATTGGTTGAACAATCTGGTATTGGAACAATGTATATTTGCTTATTCTAGTACTTCATTCAAGTTTTTATTGCACTCTTTTTAAAAAGAAATATTAAAATGCTGACAAAATTTCCATTGCGACGTCATTACGTCACATAGAACATTCTACATAGAATTTCCATGCAAAGGTCCCAGTAGAACAGCCCCATGTGTCTTAAACCTTTATTGAAACATGACCATGTCAGTGCTACCCTCTTGTGGTGGCTCTCAAAGCAGCTGAAATGTTAATTAGCACCAAAATGTATGAAAGAAAGCTTTTACTGGAACAGCTGTGACTCGGCAGCTACACAACTGCTCGAAAAAGTTTTTGACACAGACTTAAACATCAATCCATAATCTGTACCGCTTAACCTCAATAAGGTGGCGACTGGAGCCAATCACACTTCAACAGTTCCACTAAAATAATCAAACAACTCTGAATCAGTGAGGATGGTCTCAGTCCATTTGCTGCAAGATGCAACAAGGATATATTTTTTGTCCCTCGTCTTTCCTTGACAGGAGAAAGTGGAGGGATCCTGTCAAAGAGCGCAACTCTGGCCTGGGCAAGGTTCAAGTGGTGAGGTAACCAAGGTAACTCACCTTGGGTAACCAAGGTAACTCACCTTGGTTACCTTGCGTTCCCAGGCAATACACTGTGAGCGTGTTCTAAATTGGCGACTTCTCAGAAATGCGACTTCTCAGAAATGTTTTTCTAAAATGTTCAAGCGACATTAGTTGTGTTAGCTTCTATTCAGCCATATTTCACCTTACAATGACTTAACAATTATGGGTTGTTAATATCAGATGAATTATAGATATGCAATAAATATTGACTATTATTGTAGTTATGATTATCAATATTCTTATCTTTACCTATATCATCAGCATGCGCACTAACGGGCCTAAGAAAAGGGTTTACTTGTCAAAGTTGATAGTTGTCTGGTTTACAATCAACGTTTTAGAAATAGGAATACCAACGCGGCCCAGGCACGTAGATGACCAATCGTCTTCTGAAAAAGTGAAATAGCTTTTGGTATGAAATATCAACAATGTATATTGATGTAACGTCCATTAACAAACCCTGATTCATTTTCTGAGCATCAGATCTTCATTTTTGAACGAATGCTTGAAGGTGTCCACTAGGGGGCAGTATGTGCCCAGGTATTATATTAAAAACAACTACGGATGGGGGAGGGTGTGTTAGACTGATGGATTATTAGATACTCTTAACAACTATCACAAAGATTAGCAAAAGGACTGCCAACGCTGCCAAAATTTGCCCATCAAATTGCAGTAATCTGCATGGTTTCAGTTTGCTCAAAATACTGTAAAAGAGCCCTTCTTTCACAAAGCGGTATCATCTTATTTCCCGAGTGCAACTATTTCCCCACATTTAATGAACGTTACTTCAAAGTGGGACGCGGACTGTCCGACAGCGGCCCGCTGGAGAGACACAACATTCCCAGCGTCTTTGAAAAAAAAAATCGTAGGAGTCATTTTCAAATCCGTGCGGTCATCGCAAAGCGCCGATGCGTGAATAAGCGTGATTCGCGGGGGCGCGCGCGCGTGCCGTCTCAACCAGCTCATAAGCCACCTTGATGCGACTCGCAGGTGCTGATCAGAGCGCCCGCGGCCACACGCAGGAGACCACGGGGGCCTGTGACGCCGCTTCTCTCCTTCCTTTCGGCGCATAGATGTCCCCCCCCCCCCCCCCCATCTCTCTCACCACTGTACGAGGAGGGGCTTGATGCCGAGGAGGAGGAGGAGGGGGAGGCAGGCAGGCAGGCTCATCTGACCCGCGAGCCCGCATCCGAAGCAGGTCGCATGCGTTAACGAGTGACCGGCGGACAGGTGAGGGTTTGACTTTTTTAATTCCGCTCCTCTCGGTATTTCTTCTGTGCGTTTCTTTTGAACCTCGGCGCTGTTGTTCGCGGTGCCGTTCGTCCCGACAAAAAAAAGGGGGCTTTAACGCCACGGGGGGAGGCGGACCGCTCGGTGTTGGCTCAGCAGAAAGCGCTGGAAACATTTGATATAAAATAAATAAATAAACAGGCGACCCTTTGCCACGTGAAACACGTGCTGTTTCTAAAGCCCGTCAAGTGCCGGACGAGGTAATAAGACGACGGACGCAACGTTGACCTTATTTGCTTATTCGGGACGTCTTTAGCCGTCGTGCTCGCGGATGCCGGACTACCGACACTGCCCACCTCCAGCATCCTCTGCGCTCCGCTGTGCACCGTGACTTGGACTTGACCCGAATGTTATCTGGATCGGCTCGACATCAAAGCCGTGTGAGACCTCGGTGTTCGCGATGTGGGCAGCAGAGGCAGAAGGGGGGGTCTGTAATGGTCAGCTTGGTCCAGCTTAAGAGCCTGCCAGCCTTTTAAATTATTTCCCTTGGCGATGACAATCTGCTATTTCGTGGATCCCTGTGGGAGAATGTCTTCTTTTGTTTTGTTGACCTGATACCTGACCCGGTTACTTGGCCGAGGTCAGAGTGCACGCTCCTCTGGCCGTACTCCCTCCAAGAGGGGAGGATGTGCCTCCCCCCTGCCAAGGGCACGACTCCTTAACCGCTAGGCCGCCCAGCTGCCTCTGCAGGTGTGTGTGTGCCTGTGTGTGTGTGTGTGGGCTGCTCTCATATCTTTTTCTGAGCAAACTGATATTGAGGAGTGACATGTCTAGTCGGAGTGATTTAACTAGAAGAGTCAAGCCTTATGATTACTTTATACCGTAAGGCACCACAGAGGCTGCGAGGGACTAAAAGTGTGCTCACTAGTGGTAGAACGTGTAAGTGCCGAATAGAATCACCCAACAAACTATTTATGGTGAATAATAAATGGACAGCAGCAGTGGATTCTTATGATTTCCTCACACGACAGGAAGTATCAAACAATTGCTTGACAGCTGTATTCTGGTTTGAAATGTTCTGAAAAGATGCAGCGACCAAAAGCATCCATAGGTTGGGTGTTGACAGCTGAATTTTGCTTAGTCACTGAAATCCATTTAATGCCTCGTACAATCGTGGTCTCAGTAAATAGAAGTATTAAAATGAAATAATTTTATTATTACAAATTACAAAACACACAATTGCGCTTAATGCAACAATGTTCAGATTTATGTACTACATATATACTGTATATATAAATCTGGTAGCTGCTCATCGTCCATTGTATTGATCCACGTGTGATGATTCTGACTTTTTCTTTACCTGGAGGGTTTTGAAGCTGTTGGTGTAGAAAGGCTACAGTTACAAATTAATCACCCTTTGTGCAAAATAGCCTCAATCTAAATCTGAAAAAGACTCAAGATACCATAATAGGCCCTTCACATTTTCAATGTTGTATTTCAGTTCAGTATGTCATATTTTGAAAGGCGGTACATGACGGGATCACGTACTCATCCCCAGTAGCGTGTAGAAAACAAGGTTCGGTAAAATATGACAATTGGGAATAATCTCCAGATTACAGTGATATGGAGGTTTTATGTGTCCTAAATACCCTCCCTCATAACAGAATGGGGCTGGATTGTCTATAGCAGCGATTCCCAAAGTGATCTCCCTGGTGGGCCGCGAAGGTACTGCAGGTGGGGCGCAAGAGATCATTTACAATAAATAAATAAAAAGTTTTTTAATTTTCAATTTTTAAAAGTTTGAAATTAATATATTAATATTTATGATGCGGCACATTAGTTATGTGAAACATTAATTGATGAAGCACAAACAATTTAAATGGACAGATTAATAAAACAATAAGGCTCTCGCTCGAAACGGCTGCTCTTGTCCGCCTGTCGTTGTTCAACAAATGGGGCGCCCTCTTGTAGTATTAAAGTAAATATGCCGCATTTTCCGCACTCCAAGGCGCACTTACAAGGCTTTAATGTTCTCAAAAAACGACAGTGCCTTATAATCCGGAGCGCCTTATATATATGGATCAATTGGTTAATCGGTTGATCCATACTGGTTGTACACGGCGATAGAGGCGGTCTACAAAACATGCCAAAGCTCGTCTACGACGGCGAGATGCTGAGCGGCGCTCAAGCGCGTGAGATATGGAGCTTGTTTCAGGGCGCGTTGGAGAAACAAAACTGTCGTTCTTGCCGAGCACTTCATGAGATTAAAGAGCAAGAGACGGTGCCCTTTTCTCTACAGAAGCTGAACCATCTTAATGGGGAAAATAAGTTATTCTAAAAGCAGCCGAAGATTTAAGGCGTGGATGGCGAGGGGCCGGCGGGAGCGGACGCACCTCGCGGCATCGATCAGACCCTGAAAGCACCGTCTCCACGTTACTGTCAAAAAGAACAACAGCGAGCGCGTAGAAAACTCCTTTGAGCGCGAGCAGAGATTCTCCTCACGAGCAACGAAGTTCACGTTTCGCAAGCGAGCAAATACCTCACGTGAGACAGACTTTTGCTCGCGGATGTTTGATTTTGGTTAAATGGTCATTTAATCATTAGGTTTTGATCAGAGTTGTGATTAAAGGTTTGGGTGGGCCGCGAAAGATTTTCAGATTTCAAAGTGGGCCGCGGCATTCTTGAGTTTGGGAACCGCTGCTCTAGAGGATTAATGTATTTATGTTTTTGTATGTTGTGTGTGTGCGTAGCGTTGCGCATTCAGATGCAACATTTTGTGGGAATACTGAAGCTCCCTAAATCTCAGCAGTAGAGCACTGCACCTGTTGGTTCACATGAAGCAGCCTTTGCTGCTAGTCCTCGTTTTGTACAGAGGTCGGACCGTCCCAATCGGAGAAGATCTGCAATGAGTACTGCACACTTTCCATCAACAGAGTACACCGATATAATTAGATCACAGCACCGGCAATGTCACAAGTTCACATGCAGCATGCATCCGACAAAAGCTAGCTGTTTCATCAAATGCAACAATAGATACTGTTCACCCAGACCCAGGGTTATAAAAGCCGAGTTCGGATGCATGTGCCAACAGAAAAGAAGTTCTGAAACTGAAAGTATAGACAAGTTTCCCGGGCACTTCCGGTTTACTTCCTGTTTCTGCCAAGAACTTCCGGCGCAGGCTGAGTAGTGGTGTAAAAATGGCTTTGGAATGGCAACATTCGACCGAAAATCTTGTTAAAAATGGTGTTTTGACCATTCCGCATCCAAGTAAGGTAACATCATGGGCGGACAACATGTCGATATGGCCCAGCATCACAACATCCAAGATCTTTTCTTATTTTATTGATTCCATGGCGGTGGATGGGAATGCAATTGATAACCTAAGAAAGCTCAGAGGCGTTTCAGTACCTCCATTCCGACAAAGTGGGCTGTGTACTTTTACACGATATGGGCATATAAAGGCCGATGTTCAACCAAGCCAGTCCGTTAACAATTCAGCGCATAACGCCTGGGTTTTGATTACCAAGACGGGAGATGTGGAGACTGCAGGGATATATATATATATGACATATATGAGCCTATATGAAGTCACGGGGTTTTCTTTAAAATGAGCCATCTGGAAAATGCCCTACAAAGAGCAACGTTGACATGCCTGCTCTGTGCATGTGCACACATGTTTTTACAGACAGCTTCCCCATCATCTAAGCTGGAAGAATAGGTTCTTTTCCATTTGTGAAAGCAAAATGATCTCGGCTGCTAATAACTGTTTGCAGGATTAGAAACAGTGGCTTTGTGAACTAAGTAATGGCTCAGTAGTTTGGATTTCAAACCCTTTATTCTAAGTTCTGTAGCAGAAAAAACCCTGTGTGATAAAAATACAGCCTATTTTGGGCTTACTCTGTTTTCTGTAGTAATGAAGCACCGGGTTATTCTGGGTAATATTCGGGTGGGAACTCACTCTCGTTTGGCTACCTCTGTAACGTAACGTGATGTCTGAATAAACCGCTAACGCAACGTCGTCGTCTGTGCTACGTGGGTTAGACAAGCACCCGCGATAAAGTAAGGACATAACACAGCCGATGTCAAATAAGGAATATTCTGTTCACGGTGGTTATATTTTCAGGTTTTGGATTCAGTCAGATTTCTAAACCGCACCACAAAAAATATTGAGGCATTTGTCAGGTTTTTTTCAATACAATTGGCATAGGTGAAGGGGGCCGAGGGCACTGTGTGTCACCTGGTTCCTCTACACTCGAGGATGACTTGCAGGCCCAGCACACGTGGATCCATTATATCTCCATTATATCTCTCCTTCTACCCAAACAGCGTACGTAAAGCTGTGTTTCCGTCTTCTGTTCACTCTGTGAATGCAACACGAGGGATATAATATGAGGGATATATTAAAGCATGGAAGATGTTATGCGCAATGTTAATGACAAACCTGGATCACTGAATAAGAATGATCTTGTCTGAGCAATTGTCATTGCTAAGTGGCTCTCGAACTATGAGCAGTATTCATTTTCATCAAGGAAACTTGTTCTCTTGATAGATGCAAACACATTTCAAGGGCCTAAAAGAATAAGAAGTGCATCTAATGTCAGAAAAGTTGTGAAGTTGCAAACATGTACCGTTTCCTTGCCCAAATGGAGCTGCCATGAATTATTGTAGAGCATGACGGTGTTGATTTCGGGACACGGTCACCATCTGTTCAGTCCACTAGTGACAGCTGCGTCTCTCTATGTCGAGTCTTTGCTTTCCTCAGACAGGAGATTGATGGAGCCGCAGCCAATAGAGGGTATAGCTGCCCACCCGCAGCGGACATCAGGAATCAGGAATCAGGAAACATTTATTGCCAAAATATGTCAAACATACAAGGAATTTGTCTTGGCAGTTGGTGCGCGACAGTAGACAGTGTAACAATAGACAACAAGACAGCAGTGCACAAGTAATAAAATAAAGTAAGATGCAATGCTAATGCAATGGGTTAGTAGAATAAGGCT